TTCCCATTATTGTTGCAATCACAGGACTCTATGCTGTGGAATATTCTCAGTCATCCAGGGCATAATCATTCCTAAATATATCCTGACATGTTAATTGAAAAAGCTTTCTGGATTGGAGGCAAAACGTCTTCAAACTTGAAAACAAAGTCCAGTGGATTGATTTTTTATTTTATTTTATTTTTTTACTCTTTAGAATCAAAAGACTCATTTTATAAATGAAACTTAAAAAAATGGTGTAAAAATAAACTTTTGGGAAACTTCTTAAACAATAAAAAAAAAACATTTTGGGACTAACTTTGCTGTTTTCTCAGATTTTATTTTGTTTCTTTTTCTACATATGTAATTTAAAAAAAAACTTTTTTCATAATTATATATTTTTAAATGTATTATTTTTTAGATTGAGTTTTCCAAATGCATTCTGTTCGAACGTATCGTTCGAACGTTTATTCAACTAGTACAAAGATCAACTTTATACATTCAAATAAAAAAAAATTTCATTTTGATTATGTAAAACTCTTTTACTAAAACTCAATTGGATTTCAATTTCAATTTACAAAACTTTTTTTTTTTGGTTTGAAACAATGGAACAAAATTCACTGCATATTAATATGGCTTATGTTTACATTCCTCCATCTGATATCTAAGATTTATTTAGAAATACAGCAAATAATTCAAATGTCAATGAAACATATAAACCGTCTGATGTATATATGTATTAAGGAATAACAGAGCACTGCACTGCAAAAGAATTTAAATCTAAATAAGTCACTTTTTTCTTAAAATAAGTGCCTTTTTTCTTAAATTGAGGAGGTAAGTGAGACACTTTGCCAATGGAACATGATGATTTACATTTAAAATAAGAAAAAACTATTGCTTTGTCTTATTACAAGTCCTTATTATCTAATTATTTTATTTTAAGAGTAAACCTACCCATTCCATTGGCAAATCATCTTATTAATCTACACGAATTAAGGCTAAATATACTTAATTTAAGAATTTTTTAGTGTGTTTTTGGGGTTGATTTTTTGTTTTTTTTTCTGCTCCTTTTTAAAAACTGGCTTCCATATGGAGCAGCTGAATTCTCAACTCTCTCAGTTTGAATTTGCATAAGAATTCTCATTTTTAAAATCAATATACATTTACCTGAAGCATATTTTTTTGGTGTTATTGCTACAGCTTGAATTTACAAACTACGTTGTGGTTTGATTTAGAAAATAACAGTTTATTGGTTTATATTATAAAGGTTATTTTCTTTCTTGAATGCATCAAGTCCTCCTAATTTTCTTTTTTAAATTAAGCTTTCAAGTGATCAAAAAAAAAGTTTATTTCTTCATCTGATTGGTCTGAAACATATCGTCCTGATGTCACACAGAGCTGATCGTTTCCTCTGCAGTTTCACTCATTTCATTCCAAAATGCATTGAAATGAAATAAACATGGATGTTCAGTAAAATGAGTAGAAGAAATATTTATTTATTTTAATATATGATCCAAACATCAAATCTACAGTTAAGTTATAAAGTATATTTTTGAATAAATGTCCCAATAAAAGTAAAAATTTATTCAAAATCACGACTTAAACACTTATTTAAAAGATGTTTTTAATCCAACACTGAACCTTATATTACAAAAATATCGAGTGAAATAAATATATGTGGTTTGTTGAAATATTTTTGGGAGTCACGGGTTAAAAAGTTTGGAAAGTCCTGATTTAAAGAATGAGTTCAATCTTTTTGAAGTGAAACTTGCCCACCTGTAGGAGCAAAATGTCATCATGCCATCATGGAGGGATGGAAAGGTAAAATCTAGTCAGAGTTGATTCAGCAGATCAGATGAAAACGAGTCCACTTTATGGGGTAAGATAACTTTCAGGAATCTGTACATAAAGTAAAAAAACGTAGTTGTTCTTTTTTATCATCTCATTAATACATGTGATTTACAACGATTTTCTAGCAGGAAATATACATTTACTAGTACAATTCACCAGTCTGATTTGAGGAATCACATATTTATGAGTACTAATTACAAATTTATATGCATAAAACACAAATTTATAACTGGGATTCAATTAAATTCATTTCAGTTTATTTCTATAGCTCCAATTCACAACATGTCATCTCAAGGCACTTTACAGTTCAACCAGATCATCCAGTCAGATTGATTCAAAGTTTTCTATCTAAGAAAAACCAGTTGATTGCATCGACTCATTGACTCAAATACAATCCCTCACACTAAGCATGCTTGTAGCGACAGTGGAGAGGAAAAACTCCCTTTTAACAGGAAGAAACCTCCAGCAGAACCAGGCTCAGTGTGAGGTGGTTTATGCTCAGAAACCAGGTCGTCTGCTGCACCTCTCCAAAATTGTAGGTGACCCCAGACAGTGCTGCAGACACGAGGCCTCTGATTGGTCAAATCTACATCCGTTCCCCACTATGCGTGTTTCGTGTTTGTGGAAAACGACTCATGAAGATGAACCAGCTAGAATAGCGACGTGTGCCAGAACGCTGGGACCCTTTTCCCACCTGGATCTCCGCTCTTTATGCCTTATGTCCCTCCGTTGTTGCTCAAACTTGCTCCCACTTCCTCACCGCCTCGTTATAGACCCGCAGCTACTTCCTGATTGTCCCTCTTGCGTCACGGCGTGGAATAACATAGCGCAGACCACGCTTCAATATTGGGCATAAATTAAAAATATCTACGATAAGCTCACTGCGGCCGTTTCTCAATATGCGTTCTTGAGCGTTCTTGTGTGCTCGTGTACTCGTGACACGTCATCAGCCTCAGCCCGAGTACCGTTCCAATTCTCGAGAAGGTCAGATCGAGAACGCACCAAATTCCCGGATGTTGTTCTCACCCCGCCCTCTTTATCGAGCATGCATCAGAGCAGACTTGTGCGTTCTTCAGACTGAGTTCTTCCCCAGAATGCCCCGCGGCCGCAGCTTGATTCCAGACAGCGCTCACAGTGTTAAGTTAAACATTCCCTTTTCTGCTGCTGTTGTTCTTCAAAAGTACGTTTTGAAATCGTTTGAGGCGATAACATTATAGATTTAAGCCTCCCTGTGTGGCCTGTTTACAGAGTTAGTGCGAAATTTTAAAAAAAAGTCCGACGTTGAGCGGACCAGAGTGACCAGCAGACCTCCGAGGGACGTTGCATGTGATGACGACACGAGTACGCTTCTGCTCCAATACACATACGTGCTCGCGTGCTCGCGTGCTCGCGTTCTTGTCAAGTCCGATCTTCCTGTGTTCTCGCCAAGAACGGACTTGACGAGAAGGCCGTTTTTCAATTCACGAGAACGCGAGTATGTACTCGCGTTCTCGTGAATTGAGAAACGGCCTGCGACACACTGCTGTGGGAGGATAACCGGGCCTTACATCAGCTCCACAGGCGGCCTCGTCCAGGAAATACACAGCCAGGCAGACAAATTTGCGGAATTTCACAAATCTACTTTAGGGAATCAAAAATTTACACATAAAATTTTTATTTTAATTGTTGGACTCACAAATTTGCTAGTAAGAATCACAAACTTGTACCTACATATCACCAATGTACTGGTGGATATCACAAATTTACTATTGAAAATTACAAATTTATGACTAAAAATGACAAATTTACAAGTAGGAATGACAAATGAAACATGGAGGAAAGGGTTTCCTCCAAGGGAGCCTCAATCCAAACAGAATCAAAGAATAAACATATAATTGGACTTTATTAATCTCACATTGGAGAAATTTCTCTCTGCATTTAACCCTTCCCTTGGGGAGCAGTGGGCTGCCACTCTGCGGCGCCCGGGGAGCAGTGTGGGGTTAAGGGTCTTGCTCAGGGACCCAGAGTGCAGGCTGTGGGGATCAAACCAGGTACTTGCAACCTTCTCAGAGCACAAGCGCACTGCTCTAATCACTGGGCCAACACTCCCCCTATTTAGTTGAATAAAATGACACCACAATGACACCTGCTGACTTGTCGTATGTCTGAATAGTTTTATGTGATTATTTCCTTGCAGCTCACTGTGATGTCAGATGTTTCTACTGCAGATAAAGGAACCAATACTGATGATAATAACTGTTTTTTTAAAATGTGACTAATAGTTTAAGTGTTGGGACTAAAAAGAAGTAGAAAAGGAAGAAAAAAGCGTAGATATGAAGGAGCTGAATCCTAAACACACAAACAGGAGGTGTGTGTGTTCATGCATGAGTAATCCCAGCCTTTACAAAGTCTGCCTTTAATCTCAGGATGATCTCCGGATTAACTGTTGTCTGTATGTTAAACCACTCAACGCTCATTATGTTGCTTATTAACCTGATGTCTCCTTCTCACTTGGAGATGCAGGAAACATCATTTTTTTAAGTAGTTGATCCTGATTTACTTGCCCTGATGAGAAGCTTAACAGCTGGGGAACATTTGAAGGCTGTAAACAGGGATTATTTTCCCCCCTCGGATTAATCAAGTGGAATCTCTGCCCGTTAAAATCGAATTGCTTCATCTTTTAAACTGATCAACAGGTTTTGGGTGTTAGAATGAATGATAAACACATGCAGCTATTTTAGAAAACAAAGAAAGGGTAATTTATCAGCTGTTTAATCTCTTTCAGATTAGTTTTATTTTAATTTGTTGATTATTTCCACAACTCTTCATTTATCTAAACAGCTTTTCTTTCTCATTTCTATATTTTCTCATGACAAGGGCCAAATTATCAGATATATGTATATTATATAACAGATTTTATTTTATTTCAGGTATTAAAACAGTGATGAAACTTTCCCTTCTCTCTCACTTCCACCCTGCAGCTACTATTGAGATTTTTCTCACCCGTCCTGAGTGGAAGGACAGTCTTCACTATGCATGTTTTTTACGGCACGGCTGCGGCCGTGGAGGACATGCAGACGGTCTGGGGTGAGGTGAGTCTATTATCTGTTGCAGAGGCAGGAAGGAGGAGGGTGCTGGAGGGGAGGTGGGGGTCCCTCCCAGACTCACTGGAGCCTTGTTGTAACAGCCTCATTGAGACTGAATGGGACGTCTTAATTACTCCAGTTGTGAAAACTTGAAGGAGGGGATGCAGCAGGCTTTGATCTTCAGGTTGGGGCATCTACTATAAATAGGGCTGCTTGGAAACTCAATCATAACTTCTACAAGTGACCATCCTGAGATCCTCTCCTCTGACCTGGACTTTTTTTATTCTCTTTCTTCATCCTGTGAGCATGAAGGGTTATTTCTCCATCGAGTGGATGGCCCAGAGCAGTAAGCCTGCAGACCCGCAGACTTTACCTGCTCCAGCATCCGGGCCGGCGGCCTGGGGGACCAATTCAGAGAGCCTGCCGGGTTTTTACTACAAACCCAAACCTGAGGAGCTTCTGGAAGCAGAGCAGCTGGTGAACCCATTCAGCCAGGAGGCCCCTCAGCTGCAGACGTCACCCAGGAACCAAGGTAAGAGTTTAACCCTCTATGGAGGTTTTTTTTTTATACGTAAATATTTCATCATCACCTCCTAAATTTACAAACAAACATTTGATATTTAAAAAATGTATTCATTTCATCTGTTAAGATTGCAATTCATGTGAAAAAATGTGTTTGCTTTTACTTTATTTATTTTATATGATATTCCGATTTTGAAATGTATCTGAGAATTTACAATAAATAAATAGGCCAATAATATTGACATAGTGACAATATTTTTGTTTTTTAATTTTGTAAAACATCCTTAAATGAAACTAAAGCACATATATTTACCCCCAAATTGTAATCAAGTAAGATTAACGCTTCATCATTAAAAAGTAATCTAAAAAATGATCATTAAGTATTAATTAACTCCTCGTAACATTTCATGTTTAAAATTATGTAATAAAAAGAGAGCAAAGTTATGAGCAAATTCAGGTTTTATATAATATATCATAATTAAAACAAATAATTTAATTGAAAAAGAACAATTCAAGGCAGAGTAAACACTTTGTAGATTATATTTACTCGTTAATCTTAATCTTACAGCAGGTTTAAGGAAGCTTGTGTACAGTTCATTGTTTATTCGGGGACGTTTCTCACCATGGATGGAGTAAAGAAACATTTAAATCAGGCAAAAGAAGCAACATTTTATTAAGAGATTACTCAAGAAAAAGTTTGGTGCTGTAAAAAACTACTCAGAAAGTCACTAAAGTAAGAGTAACTGAGTAAATGTAACTAGTTACTATCCACCTCTGATAAACCATCTGTTTTCTAAATGATAAATGAATGCATTTGTGTGGTTTTAACTTTTTTTATGTTATGTTTTGCACTCTAAAGAAGTTTAAAGATACTAATATTAGAAATTAGAAGTAAAAGAAGTTGTTTAACATTATTATTATAAGTATTTGCACAGAATGATTTATTTATTTTTACCTTTAATGGTAGATTTATTTATTTATGATTTTTCTTCCTCTTTCCAGTCAGTGAGGCTGGTTTCAGCAGCTGCACCGAGGAGGAGACCTCTGGGTACGAGAGCGAAGGAGGTCATTGTCATTCCCCCACCTCCCCCCCTGACAGCGCCTCCTCCACGACTCCCCCGTCGCCCCCCGTGGGCAGGAGGCCCCGCACAGCCTTCACTGCAGAGCAGATCAGCAGCTTGGAGAGGGCGTTCAAGAGAAACGCTTACCTGGGAACACAAGACAAGGCAGAGCTTTGCAAGAAGCTCAACCTCTCTGACAAACAGGTAACAGCTGCCCTTCCATCACCATGTCTGCCTGATCAGTTTATCTGATCATGAACAGCTACTTATAAAGTTACACAATAATTACAGGTTATTAACTCTTAAAAAGTATGTTTCTGTGATCATTTACATTTGTTTGTAATTTGATAAACACTTTTCCGTTTTCTAATATTTATCAAGAAATATCAATTAAAAAACTTTTTTAAAGGTATTCATAGTTCAGTTTATCAATATATGGAGTGAATTTTGTTTCGTTATTGTTGCAAGTAAAAAAAAAAAACGGTTTGTAAATTTTTTTTTTAAATGGATGCGATTCAGAAATAAAAATTTTACAAAAAGTTTTAAATGAATTGAATTAGAAAAACTCATCCTGAAAATGAGAAATTTTAAAAATAAATTTTAACAAATAATATCTGTTACACACAGAACTAAATATAAAAAATGTATACACATTAAATAAATGTGTAAACTTGATTAAAACAATACAAATTGCAAAAATAAAATATCAAAGAAAGATTTTATGGAAAATTTTTTTGGGAAAAATACATAAGAAATCTGTAAAAAAAAAATATCTAAAGAAAATTTGCAAAAATAAAATACAAGAAAATTTTGAATGAAAAAAAAAACAGAACATGAAAGAATTTTTTGGTATAAACAAATCTAAGAAAAGATTATTTAGAAGTTTGTCAAAGGTATATTACTTTATTTCTTTTATAAATTTCTGCTAACAAAAACTTGTTCTGTACTTGTAACAATAATGGGACAAAATTTATTCCATACAATCATAGCAAATTACTTCTCAGAGCTTAACTGATACTTCAACCACTTTCTAAGAATTTTCTGAAAATTTAATTTTTCTTCCTAAACCTTCCCAAACTGAAAAATTATTTACCAGGATTTAAATTTTGCTCTCTAGATTTCATTTTGCTAAAGAGTTTGACAGAGTTTACGTTCCAAAACTCAAATACTACTAGAAAATATAAGCCGTACTTCAGTGATCTTATAGGGTTATTTTCTGATGGCTGTCGGTTAGATTCCAGTGTTTATTGGCAACTTTAAAGTTTACTTTCTGGCAGCTGAGGATTGTTTGTTGAAAATCTCTGGATGCTTTTCCAACCATCCAGTTTAATTTGGGTTCAGGGAGCTTTCTTTAACTTACCTGTGATGTTCCAGCGGTTACTTTCAGTATCAATGTGAAAGAGCATTTTTCTATTTTTATTATTGCTTGTTATTTATGACTGTTGCTCCAGTCTAACATGCTTTCCCTGATATTTCTCACAGATCAGAAACTGGTTCCAGAACAGGCGGATGAAGCTGAAGAGGACGGTACAGGACGCCTTGGCTCATGCCTGCCAGGCTAATGTTGCCTCTCGCTTCATGCATTATCCTGAGCTGCAGGCCTACAGGCCCGGGCCGTACCCCAGGTACCACGCAGCAGCGCCAGAGGCAACGACTGCCGCTTCCTACGTTCATCCTCACAGCCTTCAGTACAGCTCTCCTCTGACCAGCACCTCCGCTCTACCCCTGGACTCCTTCTACCAGTACGGCAGCCTGCCGGGGGTCATGCTGCCCGCTGTCACCTCTCACCTCAGGGGATCCTACCCCCCATACCATCAATACTACTGATCAGCAGGAGCATCAGGAGTATTTCTGGGACAAAGGAATCTATTTTTAAATAAAATCACTGATCTTGTTAAGATTAATGGAACCAAACGGTTTACAAAATCCTTGAACTGTAACCGGAGCCTTAACTGGGTGGTGTGCAATAATATAAACTGTGTGTTAATTTCTGCATTTGAACAGTTTGGATCTGTTTAACTTTGGATTAATGAATCTTTTTATTTAGAGTTGTTTTTTTTGTAACTGTGAAACTAAATTTAAATAAAAGAACTATTGTTAACACGTCTCATAGTCTTTTCTATACGAGCAGTATGGATTGAAGTTTGTGCCATTATTGTTGCATAAAAAAACAAAACATGCTTTGGTCATGGACATTTGAAAAGCAAAAAACAAATACAATCTACAAATGGAACTTGAAAATCAAAACATTTCCCCTAACCGTTTTACTCAGATTTTATTTATGCCAAATTATGTTTTCTTTTTATCATATTTTTTTCTTTAAACTATTCAAAATTCTTTTAACAATTGTTATAGGTTTTCATATCATTTTAAGAAATTATGTTCATTTAAAATAGCCTTTTAGAGATCAGTTTCTCTTCACTTAAAGCCAAATACAGACACTAATTCTTGAACAATGAGCATGTTGTAGCTAGCGTCCAGGATCACCAATAGAAATGTGTCTTCATTCCTCACTCCAGAGGAAATTCAGACCCCAGAAGTGAGGAGAATGTTATCTATTTAAAAACTATTAGAAAAGAATGAAATTCCTAAAGCTCAACCTGAAAAAGAGAAATAAAACAAAGATAAAAATAAATTATAAATAAATTATCTGGAAACATTAAAAATGAAAAGAAAACAGCAAGGTCACTATTAAGACCTTGATTCGTAAGAACATTTTTCAAAATTTCCTTTCTGGATTCCTTTTTTTTTCTTTTCTTTTTTTTTTTTTCCAAATTGACAAACTGTTCAAAACTACAATACACGTAATTTGCTTGCAACAATAAGGGAATAAAACGCACTCCATAACAGCTGTACATACTGTAGGTAGTTACCTGAATGAGTAAAGTCAGGCTGTGGATTGCTACAGTATCCACATAATGCTGTATTTTATATGGGAAATAAAATACAGCATTTCTTCTTAAAACTGTGTTCTCCTAAAATACTGTTTTGATATATTTTACCAGCATCATGTTTTGCATATAAAAAACAATTAAGCTATCAAAGATGCTAGCTAGGAGTAACAAAATGAAACAACACTGATGCTAAATTAGGGACATGTACATTTTTATAAACACCTCTTTAAATCGTTCAATCGCTAATAAGTACACTATTATTTGGCGTACACAGTGGCGGTTCTAGACCAAATGTTGCCGAGGGCCTCCGTATTTCATGGAGGCACAGAAAAGCATGAAGGAGAAAAAAAAAGGGGGGGCAGGGATTCAGTTAAATTAAAAGAGCTAAATGAAGTGAATTTTCCATTCAATTAGATGAAAATATTTATTTTTGGCTTGAAAATGTTCATTTGGATTATCCTTAAAATCAAAACCCCTTAGCATAGCAAAAAAGCAAATCAAAGAATTGTAGCTATATAAATATCTAAAAGATAAAATAAATGTATTATTTGGAGTACTAGGCCAATATACATTCATAATTTAGGAATTTTACATATTTTTAACTTAATTGAAGTTAAAATGACAGTTTCCTATAAAATCAGAATTAGAATTCAAGAAAAACCGATAAATTCAGCTGTAAAAAGTAGAGTATTTTTTATTTGTTTTGAAAAAATTATTTAGCAGATGAAAACTAGAATCTCCTCTCAATACCACTGAAGCTATCACCTTATTTTTTTTTCAAAATAATTAATAAAATAGAATTCTTTTAAATAAAAAAATTTAAAAGATCCAAAGGACCTATCAGTAACCATGTCTGTTCCAGCGCATATCATCATTAGAATGATTATGTCTTCAGTTCAGGGGCCATAACAGGGGCCAGGACAGGATCTACAGGGGCACTGGCCCCCGTTGGCCCCTGTCTAGACCTGCCCATGAACCTGCATCATAACCAATGTCAGCTGGAGTTAGGCACCAGCCCAAGGATAAACTGCAACAGATTATATTGAAATTATTTGATGATAAAAAAAACATTTTAATTTCACATAGAAAACAGAAAACATCTGAGTTCTCAGGATTCAAAAACATTTTCAGAGCCCAATACTGAACCGCTTTATATATTCTCACTAACATTTTTAACTAGCTGTCTCTGAACAGGTTTACATCAACCAAACATGTTCTCTAGACATGAACAAATGTTTGGTGATATTTAGAAACTTTATTCATTTGAGTCGGTTGGTTTCTTCCCATGAAGCCAGCTTCTTTAGACAGACAATTCATTTTATCAGTCAAATTGGAGGCTTTGGGTAAACCATCCAGTAGATCAATCTATTCCAAAATCAGTTCAATCACTTATAACTAGACTTTGATCTTCATTCGTTATTCAATTCAATTCAATTCAGTTTAATTTATATAGCGCCAAATTCACAACACATGTCATCTCAAGGCACTTTACAGTTCAACCAGATCATACAGTCAAATTAATACAAAGTTTTCTATCTAAGGAAAACCAGTTGATTGCATTGACTCATTGACTCAAATACAATCCCCCACACTAAGCATGCTTGTAGCGACAGTGGAGAGGAAAAACTCCCTTTTAACAGGAAGAAACCTCCAGCAGAACCAGGCTCAGTGTGAGCGGCCATCTGCCGAGGCCGACTGGGGTCGGCCTCCATCTCTTTAGTCCAATGCAGCAGCTTTACTAGCAGCAAGGACGCCCCGCAGTATGATGTTTTTACCTCCAAGCTAGACAGTTGATGCTGTGCTCTTATGTTTAAAAGGCATTCATTTGTTCACTTAACGTGTAATTCTTTGATTTTTTAGCTCAGTTGTTCTCTCATATGATCATTAAGCTTTTTTTGTGGATGGATGCAGATTTCAATCAAGCTTGAAGGTGTAGATTGGGATTATCCATCTGTCCATTCATCCATTTTCCGTCACGTTTATCCACCCTGGACAGGTCTCCAGTCCATCGCAGGACAACACAGAGACAGACAGGACAAACAACCATTCACACCTAAGGAGAATTTAGAGAAGCCAATTAACCTAACAGTCATGTTTTTAGGCTGTAGAAGGAAGCCGGAGTACCCAGAGAGAACCCACGCATGCTTAGGGAGAACATGCAAACTCCATGCAGAAAGACCCCGGGCCGGGAATCGAACTCGAAACCTTCTTGCAGCAAGGCCACCGTGCGGCCCTGATCGGGAGTAGTGTCCCCTTTTCTGGGTCGGCTCCCTCTCAGTCAAATGCTGTGAATTTCTGTTCACTATAGGAAATAAATTCTTATTTATGGAGTGAGATAACTGCCAATAAAAATATGTAATGTAATATATGTAATATAATATAATCTTATAATGTAATATAATCTTAAATACACGTGACATCACATCATCTGTCAGAATACAAGTTAGAAAGTTACAACCTTGTAATAATACAATTATTACATAAAATAATCTTGGAATTTGCATCCATCTTTTTGTGGTCATTATTTATTTATTTGTAGTGCGGAATTTGCTATTTGTACTCATAGATTTGTAATTCCTACTGGTAAATTTGTGATTTGTACCTATATTGTTAAGCTTTAATTTTGTTACTCATATTCCTACAGCTGTAGATATTTATATTTGAGTTCAAATAAATTTTTTATTAAGGTTTTTAACTTTCATTTACATATTCAGACATCTATTTGATATTTACAGTTATACCCCATACTTGTATTTTCAGTCATTTCCAGCAGATGTTGGCTTTCAGGTTGACTTTTTGAAACTTACTACGGAAGTTAGTTTACAGGCTTTACTGGTTACTGGTTTAAAGAAAATATATCTGATGACATAGTAGCCCAAACTTTAAATTTTCTATTTATTCTATTTAAATAAACTTAATTCAGTATAATATGAGAGCTCTTTATAATCTAAGTTCGTGGATATTAAAAAATTATTGATACAAATAGTTTTGCTGTCGTTTCATTTGCATGAGATGCTGTCCTATTCAGGAGGTTAAAAAAAAGTAGGCAAAAATCATACATTGGCGCCACCTACTGACCGAAGAAGGTAACGCAACAACAATGTAGGAAGGTTACATTTTAGAAAACCACCTTTTTTTTTGATGGCGAGTTTATAGGCTCCTTCTTTTTTTTTTTTGCATTAGTATTTTATTTATTTAAATCTATGTTTATAAATATATTTACAAACACAACAAATACAAAAAGAAAACTGGGCAGCCATTAACGTGGAGGAAACTGAGAGTGTAAAAAATATCATACTATTCAAGATTTTTATGATGCGATGGAGTATTAGGGCCAGGTTAGATATTTTTGTTTTTGTTTTTAGAATAAAGTAGTAAGGAATTTATCATAACACAACCCATTTCAGAAAGAAAGCTTCCAACCCCAACCAGCTCCACCAATCAGCAACCTGAGTCTACTTTGACCTTCTGCCCAGTTTGATGCTGTTGCTAAAAGAATTCCTTATTTGTCAAACCAGAGCCAAAGTATAACTTGACATAATGCTCCACATTCCTCATTTCAGGAAAGAAATTACTTCTGTTAAGAGTTGTCATAAAGTACAACTGGACTTAATACTCTTAAAATCACCACTTTATTCCTTTAATTTTATGACTATTCTCTTTGTGACTTTTTTCTCGTAATTGTACGACTTTATTCTCGTAATGTGAAGACTTTATTCACATGATTTTACAATTTTATTCTCGTAATTGTACGACTTTATTCTCATAATGATACGACTTAATTCTGATAAGTTTACCACTTTATTCTCCTAATTTTATGACTTTATTCTCCTAATTTTATGACTTTATTCTGGTAATTGTACGACTTTATTCTCGTAATGTTGTGACTTTGTTCTAGTAATTTTAGGACTTTATTTTCGTAATGTTACGACTTTATTCTCATACTTTTACATCTTTATTCTTGTAAAGTTAAAGGAATAGTACACCCAAAACATGATTAGCCTTCATTTTCTACTCACCCCCATGCTGAACAACACTCTGGAGTACTTTTTTGATATCTCAAATGCATCTGGAGATCTGGGAGGCTTCTTGCTGTCTGCTGACATTCAAATAATGGAGGTCTATGGCGCCCGAGACAGAAAGGTCCATAAAAGTCCACAAAAAACGTGTCAATATTCCTCCATACTGCTCGTCCAATGTATTCCAAGTGTCCTGAGTGGGTAGCATCCAGAATTTACTCGAAACGAAGTCATTTAGAATGTTTTTAGAGCATAAACAGTAGTGTATAGGATTTCCTGAAAGCACGTTCACGTCGCTACGGAAACCGCGGCAGACCAAACCAGCGCATTCAGCTCAGCAAAGAACTCATGCTCTTCCTCAACACTGAAGTCCTCAGACATTTTTCTTTCTTTGCACAGGTAAACAGCACATTTCTTCTTCTATGCTTGCATTATTGGCAGAGCAGACGCTGAATGCGCACTTTCATCTGATTTGGTCTGCCGGCTTCCGTAGCGTCGTGATCGCGCAGGTGCGCGCTTTCAGGAAATCCTATACACTACTGTTTAATTCAATTCAATTCAGTTTATTTATATAGCGCCAAATTCACAACACATGTCATCTCAAGGCACTTTACAGTTCAACCAGATCATACAGTCAAATTGATACAAAGTTTTCTATCTAAGGAAAACCAGTTGATTGCATTGACTCATTGACTCAAATACAATCCCCCACACTAAGCATGCTTGTAGCGACAGTGGAGAGGAAAAACTCCCTTTTAACAGGAAGAAACCTCCAGCAGAACCAGGCTCAGTGTGAGCGGCCATCTGCCGAGGCCGACTGGGGTTCAAGGAGACAGAAGCAGAGATACAAAAAGCAGCTGTAAAAGGCGGCCCCGTCCAGGAAACACACAGCCAGGCAGACGAGCTCCAAGGCAGCTCCCATGCCAGAGGACGAAGAGAGCACATCCACTCAGTCACAGTCAGAGAAACAGGACCACACTGGAAAACAGGCCGATCTCCAACATCTATAAACAAGGGTGTTGATAGAAGCAGCACAGCTGATGTTTCTTTCCAGGATGACGTCACAGCCAAACAGGAACAGACGAGGCAAAGCTACTCTGAGGAAAAGCAGAGAGAGCAGAAGGTTAGAGATTGAACTAACAGATTCTGTAGAATAGGAGAACAGAGAGAGAATGAAGCAGAATGATGAAATGGGGGTCCCTATGTCCTCCAAAACGCTCTAAAAAGATTCTAAATGACTTCGTTTCGAGTAAATTCTGGATGCTACCCACTCAGGACACTTGGAATACATTGGACGAGCAGTATGGAGGAATATTGACACGTTTTTTGTGGACTTTTATGGACCTTTCTGCCTCGGGCGCCATAGACCTCCATTATTTGAATGTCAGCAGACAGCAAGAAGCCTCCCAGATCTCCAGATGCATTTGAGATATCAAAAAAGTACTCCAGAGTGTTGTTCAGCATGGGGGTGAGTAGAAAATGAAGGCTAATCATGTTTTGGGTGTACTATTCCTTTAAGGCTTTATTCTGGTAACGTTACGAGTTTATTCACGTAATTTTACAACTTTATTCTCATAATGTTATGACTTTATTGTGATAATTTTACGACTTTATTCTCCTAATTTTATAACTTTATTCTCGTAATTTTATGACTTTATTCTCGTAAATGTACGACTTTATTCTCATAATGATACGACTTTATTCTGATGATTTTACGACTTCATTCTCCTTAATTTTATGACTTTACTCTCGTAATGTTACGACTTTTTTCTCGTAATGTTACGACGTTATTCTGATAATTTTACGACTTTATTCTCGTAATTTTATGACTTTATTCTCATAATGTTACAGCTTTATTCTAGTAATTGTAGGACTTTATTTATTTAGTTATGACCAGAGATGGCAAAAGTACTCACTTTCCGTACTTGAGTAAAAGTACAGATACTTGTGTTAAAAAATACTCTGGTAAAAGTGGAAGTACTGATTAAACTTCTTTACTCAAGTAAAAGTAACAAAGTACAGGTTTGTAAATTTACTTAAAGTATAAAAGTAAAAGTAGAAACCACTTTTTTCATGCCGTTGCCTACATTTTAAATGGATGTCTGCCAATAGGACTAGATCTCCGTTGTGTTCATTTTCAATCATCTCGTCGTCCATACTACTATGCTAACGCCACCGCCACCAATGATTTGCCGCGAATGAATACCACCGAATCTGTCGATTCATCTTGTAGTGGTGCGTCAAATGCAACGTAGATTCCCATCCAATTAGATTGAATTTGGTATTGATGATGTGAAAAATAATAACAGTAACTCCATTCAAATGATTCAAAACTAAAGTAACGAGCCAATTTTTTTAAATGTAAGGAGTAGAAAGTACAGATATTTGTGTAAAAATGTAAGAAGTAGAAGTAAAAAAAGTAGTAAAGTAAAAATATTAGAAAAATCTACTTGAGTACAGTAACGAAGTATTTGTACTTCGTTACTTCCCATCTCTGGTTATGACTTTATTCTCATAATTTTACAACTTTATTCTTGTAAAGTTAAGGCTTTACTCTCATAATGTTACGACTTTATTCTCGTAATTTTATGGCTTTATTCTCGTAATTGTACGACTTAATTCTTGTAATGTTACGACTTTATTCTGATAAATTTACGCCTTTATTCTCGTAATTTAATGACTTAATTCTCATAATGTTACGACTTTATTGTTGTAATGTTACGACTTTATTCTCATAATTTTACAACTTTATTCTCGTAATTTATGACGTTATTCTCATAATGTTACGACTTTATTCTTGAAATAGAAGGAAAAAAAATCTCTAGCCTGACCCTAATACTCCATAGTTAAGGAGGAATAAGAGGTTAAAAAAAAAAGTAAGCAAAAATCCTACATTGGCGCCACCTACTTACCGAAGCAGGTAACGCAACAACAATGTAGGAAGGTTAGATTATAGAAAGCCAACTGTTTAAACCTTGGCGAGTGGATACTTCTTTTTTTCATCAGCATTTGATTTACTTAAAAAGTACAAAAAAAAAGGTAAAGACAAAAGAAAGCTGGGCAGCCATTAACGAGGAGGAAACTGAGAGTGAAAAATATACTATTCAAGATTTTTACAAAGACAGTTTTTAAAGTTTTATTTAACACAAACATTGATATTTCCCAAATTAAAAAAGTAAAAACATGTTTAAGAAAGAAAACCCTCCCTGACAAAACTTTACTGTGAACCAATGGCTGACCAGTGATTTTAAAGACGGCCAATTAATTGACCAATAAAAACGCAGTAACTAGATAAAGTTGCGGAAGTGGCAGCTGTCTTGTCCAATCAGAGAGCTTCAGCGCCGAACGTGAGCTGACCGACGCCTGCACGCAGGCAGCTGCTGCGCAGAAGAGGGGGGCAGGAGCCGAATGGTGGAGCTGAAGATGGCGGATGGCGACAGTGGGAGTGAGCGTGGTGGAAGTAGCGGAGGAGGAGGAGGAGGCTTCCAGCACTTCCACAGGGACCAGGAGACCCAGGAGCTGGCCTCCAAGCGCCTCGACATCCAGAACAAGCGCTTCTACCTGGATGTCAAGCAGAACAGTAAAGGCAGGTTCATCAAGATCGCCGAGGTCGGGGCCGGGGGCTCCAAAAGTCGCTTGACCCTCTCGCTGTCAGTTGCGGCGGAGTTCCGTGACTACCTCGGGGATTTCATCGAGCACTACGCCCAGCTGGGCCCCAGCACTCCGGAACAAATAGCCCAGGCCACCGCGGGGGAAGACGGCGGGCCGCGGCGAGCTCTGAAGAGCGAGTTTCTGGTCCGGGAAAACCGCAAGTACTACCTGGACCTGAAGGAGAACCAGCGGGGGAGGTTCCTGCGGATCCGGCAGACCGTCAACCGCGGACCTGGCTTTGGAGTAGGGGGGCCCGTGGGGGGCATGCTTGCCGGTCAGACCATTGCCCTTCCGGCGCAGGGGCTGATAGAGTTCAGAGACGCCCTGGCGAAGCTCATAGATGATTACGGAGGAGACGACGAGGAGCTGACGGGGGGCATGGCCGCGGGGGGCTTCAGCGAGCTCCCCGAGGGCACCTCCATCATGGTGGACTCCAAGCGCTTCTTCTTCGACGTCGGATCCAACAAATACGGAGTGTTCCTGCGGGTGAGCGAGGTGAAGCCCAGCTACAGGAACTCTATCACCATCCCCTTCAAAGCCTGGAGCAAGTTCGGAGGAGCCTTCTGCAGGTACGCCGAGGAGATGAAGGAGATCCAGGAGCGGCAGAGGGACAAGATGTACGAGAGGAGAGAGGAGTCCGAGGGGGACGATGTGGATGACGACTGAGCGCGTGGATCACCGCGGCTGTTAGTCCAGATGCACCACAGATGTGCAGCATAGGGGTATTTTTTCATTAAAGAAGAAAAAAAGCAGAAACGACAGATAAAAGTGCATGATGAATCGTGCTGTAATAGCTTACTAAAAGTATTGTGGCGTAAAACAAAGTACATGTGCAGGGACTGATTGGTGTATATCTCTAAAAGTTTGTAGGGGTTGGAGGTGTTGTGTGCAAGAAAAAGATGTGGGAAATGAGATATTTCTCATTGGTTTTAAAGAAAAATACAAAGAGTGAGTTATGCTTTTACTTTGAAAGGAAACAAAAGGAAATGGAGGTGCTACTAAAACCAGCAGTTTGGGTTTTTATTTTATTTTCTTAAGCTAGAACTGAAACCAGTGATTTCTATCCGACGACAGAGTATTAGGGCCAGATTTATGCTTTCTTTATGCGTCGTAACATTAACAGAATAACGTTGCTAGATTGCGAGAATAAAGTCGTAAGATTGTGAGAATAAAGTCGTAAGATTGCGAGAATAAAGTCGTAAGATTGCGAGAATAAAGTCGTAAGATTGCGAGAACGAAGTCGTAAGATTGCGAGAACGAAGTCGTAAGATTGCGAGAACAAAGTCGTACTTTGCGACTTTGTTCTCGAAATGTTATGACTTTATTCTGGTAACGTTGCGACTTTGTTCTCGTAATGTTATGACTTTATTCTGATAATGTTGCGACTTTGTTCTCGTAATGTTGCGACTTTGTTCTCGTAATGTTATGACTTTATTTTGGTAATGTTGCGACTTTGTTCTCGTAATGTTACGACTTTGTTCTCGTAATGATGCGAGTTTGTTCTTGTAATTTTGCGACTTTGTTCTCGTAATACAAGAAAGAAAATTCTCTAGCCTGGCCTTAATACTCCGTGGTACCTACTAAAAGTATTGTGGCGTACATGTGTACATGTGCAGAGACTGATTGGTGTATATCTCTAAAAGTTTGTTGGGGTTGGAGTGGTTGTGTGAAAGTGAAAGAAAAATATGTGAAAAATTAGATATTTCTCATTGGTTTTAAAAAATGCAGAGTGAGTTATGCTTTCATGTTTAAAGAAAAACAAAAGGAAAGAGATGTGCTACTAAAACCAGCAGATTGGGTTTTTATTTTTGTTTTAACTAGACCTTAAACCAATGATTTCTATCCAGTTTGAGACGTAGATCAGAGTGAGAACCTGCTAAAGATGGCCTCCGGGCTTGTTTAGGAAGCGGTGAGCATCCATCCCGTTCTGTTCAGGTCTCTGCTGGTGGGATTCTAGCAAGTAGGTTTGAAAGAACCAGAGAGGGGAATTTAGAGCGAGAGGGTTTCTGCCAGATGCAAGATCTATTTCAGCATAAGAGTCAAACAAGCACTCTGCAACATCTGTAGGCTGCTAATCGACAGAGATTACCCAAAAGTGGGGGGTGGGAGACTACCGAGGGGATTATCTGCAAACCCGCACAACAAGGGCCTCATGGAATAATTTAAAAGCTTTGACTCCAGCAGTCAGTTAAAGAGCGGATCGGCTGGGTTTATGTCATACATACAATGTTTTTTGTTCTTTTAAGCAAAGTAAATAAAACTCATGTCTTCAGCAGGATGAGCACCAGAGCATCCCTGGTGTCAGATAACAGCTGTTTTAAATATGCGGGGAGCGGGCCTCAGAGTGGACTACAAACTTTCCCAACGCTCCTTGGTTCCAACTAAAGGGGTCCAAACTTTCTAGCGCTCGGCGGGAGAGCGCCGCGGCGTGCTGGAGCCACAGATGTCCGGCGCCGCTCCGGCTCTATCTGACATCTTCAGACATGTCCAACACCCTGGACAGATGGACGTTTTTTTGTTTTGTTTTTTCAAAAAAAGAGGTTTATTAAGATGAAATTCTGCTTATATGACATATATTGTAAAGCAAACCAGCAAAATGATATTTTCAAATACTTATAAAGATGTATTATCTAAAGGAATTTCATGACTTAAAAAAAAAAAAGTTAATTTTCATAAAAACAAAGAAGTGATTTACAGTTACAGATTTTTTTTTTTTCATTTTGTTCCTCCCAGAGTGAAATTATAAGATTTCCTTGATTAAAACAAGTTTAAATTGAACATTCAGTGGTGTGAGTTGTATTTTTTTCACAGTATGGTAACCAAGGTTTGGCAAAAAAAAAAAAAAAAAATAGATTTTTTAATTAAAACAAAAAATCATTTTAAATGCTCCTGAAATATTACATTCATTGTGTATATTTGTCTTCATTTTTATTCATTGTTTAAGAAAATAAAATTAAGTTGTTAATTTTTTTTTTTTTCAGGAGCATATTTCTGCAAAATTCTGCTTTTCATAGTAAATATTCTGGGCAATTTCTCTGCTCATTATATAGAAATAAAATGTTTTAGATTATAACATTTTAATGCCAAACCAAGATGATTTAAGGGGGTTTTAATATCAGGGTCTTTAGTAGATTCTTGTAACCTATGAACATTTAAGGCATTATTTTAAGGTATAACTATTGTTGCTTGATACTTACAAACTTATTTTATGGAGTACATTTTGTTCCATTATTTTTCAAGCAACGAAAACCTTTTGTAAATTGAAATTTGAAGAAAACAAAAATCCAATCCAGAAATAAAATTTTGAAAAACATTTTAATCACAAAAGGGTTAGGAGAAGAGTAATTTCATTGTTTTCTCAGATTTAATTTGTCTTGTTTTAGAATATTAATTTCATGTTTTCTTTAAACAATTTTTTAAAAAACATTTCTTGTTTTTGCTCACAGATTTAATAAGAAAATAATGTTCAGTTCTTTCTTTCCCATATTGAGATTTTTTCATTTGCATTCTTTTTAAATTGCGTTTTAGCTATCCTATTAGGGCCAGGTAAGAGGGTTTTTTTTATTTTAATTTTGAGAATAAAGTCGTAATATTACGAGAATAAAGTCATCATACCACAACTCATTTTAGAAAGAAAGTTTCAAGCTCCGACCAGATCCACCAATCAGCAACCTGAGTCCACTTTGACCTACTGCCCAGTTTGCTGCTGTTGCTAAAAGATTTCATCATTTATCAAACCAGAAAAACCACCAAAGTTTAACTTCACATGATGCTCCACATTCCTCATTTTAGGCAAGAAAGTGCTTCTTGTAAGAGTTGTCATAAAATAAAACTTTTTTCTTGTAATTTTAGGACTTTATTCACTTGATATTACAGCCATTTACATTTACGATTTTATTCTCGTTATGTTACGACTTTAATATAATTTTATGAATTTATTCCCGTAATGTTACAACTTTATTATAATTTCACGACGTTATTTTCATAATTTTGACTATTCTTGCAACTTTTTTCTCGTGATATTATGACTTATTCTTGTAATTTTGCGACTTTATTCTCGTAATTTCAGTTTCAATTCAATTCAGTTTATTTGTACAGCGGCAAATTCATAACACAAGTCATCTCAGGGCACTTTACAGTTCAGTTTACAGTAATGTGAACTTCATTCTTGTAATGTTACGACTTAATTCGCGTAACGTTATGAATTAATTCTCATACTGTTATGACTTTATTCTTGATATAGAAGAAAAAAACTCTCTAGCCTGGCACCAGAGATGGGAAGTAACGAAGTACAAATACTTCGTTACTGTACTCAAGTAGATTTTTCTGATATTTTTACTTTACTTTACTACTTATTTTTATGGCGACTTTTTACTTCTACTCCTTACATTTTAACACAAATATCTGTACTTTCTACTCCTTACATTTTAAAAAATTGTCTCGTTACTTTAGTTTTGAATCATTTTAATGGAGTTACCGTTATTATTTTTCACCTCATCAATACCAAATTCAATCTAATTGGATGGGAATCTACGTTGCATTTGACGCACCACTACAAGATGAATCGACAGATTCGGCGGTATTCATTGGCGGCAAATCATTGCAGCTTGGTGGCGGTGGCGTTAGCATAGTAGCATGGACGACGAGATGATTGAAAATGAACACAACGGAGATCTAGTCCTATTGGCAGACATCCATTTAAAATGTAGGCAACGGCATGAAAAAAGTGGTTTCTACTTTTACTTTTATACTTTAAGTAAATTTACAAGCCTGTACTTTGTTACGTTTACTTGAGTAAAGAAGTTTAATCAGTACTTCCACTTTTACCAGAGTATTTTTTAACACAAGTATCTGTACTTTTACTCAAGTACGGAAAGTGAGTACTTTTGCCATCTCTGCCTGGCACTAATACTCCGCTGTAACTTTCTTTACTTCCAGCTGAGTACAAACGCAAACTCCTGGTGTACGGATAGACCAACAAAAATGTTGCCAGGATCCATGCAGACCAATACAAATGTGTCATTGCTCTTAAACGCAGAGGAAATACTGCCGCAGAAGTGAAAAAAAATCTAAAAATTCTATTTGAAATTCCTCATTTTAGGGAAGAAAGTGTTTCTTGTAGGAGTTGTAATAAAAAATACTTGTTTCTCGTAATGTTAGGACTTTAATCACTTAATATAACGATTTTTTTCTCGTGATGTTACGAATTTATTATAATTTTACGACTTTACTCTCGTAATTTTGACTATTCTTGTGACTTTTTTTCTCATAATATGACTTAATTAGTGTAATTTTGCAACTTTATTCACTATATTTAGGACTTTATTCTCCTAATTTTATGTCTTTGTTCTCATAATTTTACGACTATTCTCGTATTGTTACAACTTTATTCTCGTAATCATACGACTGTATTCTCATAATTTTATGACTTAATTCGCGTAATGTTATGAATTTATCCTCATACTGTTACGACTTTATTCTTGATATAAAAGAAAAAAAATCTCTAGCCTGGCCATAATACTCCGCTGTAACTTTCTTTACTTCCAGCTGAGTACAAACGCAAACTCCCTGTGCACAGATAGACCAACAAGGTAGGTATTTTCTTAGGTATTTCCTCTTTAACGCAGAGGAAATACCTAAGAATTCTATTTTCACTTTGATTCTAAAAAAAAAAAATTTCTTAAACCATATATATATATATATATATATATATGGCATGGCCCAGTTGGAACCCAACATTGAGGAACTAGTTATTCTTATACTTAGACTATTTTGGTCACAGAATGAAATGGATGTATTGACATTGTAAGCTGCTAACAGAATGTGGACACAGATGATGCTCCAGATAATCCAGACTGTCAGAACTTCACAAAGCAAAGCTTCTTCTGGTGT